TCGACTCAAGAGCAGCTTTCGAATCAACACTAGGCAGGGGCGCAGGAACCTCACCCGAAGCCGGCACTCGAGCAGCCTCCACGGCTAGATGCAAGTCCCGGCGCAAACAACCAGGCCACGGATTCAACTGGAGCAATTGGGGACCGACAGTCTCTACGAGAGGCTTGTGCCAACCAGACTAGACCGACAGGCGTTATCGGCCTTCACCTGTGTTGGCACCAACCGCAGGCCATTCAACAACTGGATTCACCCCCTAGGTAATGTAAACTCTCCAGAAAGCCCACGCGCAACTGGTTTTCATGGGGTGCTGTAGAGGGCTTCTTTACCTCCACTGAGTTCTCGCAGGAATGTAGAACCAAATTGAGCGAAGAAGGGGCTGCCGGGGAAGTATGTGGAGTTTTCTATTTTCCCTTTCCCTTTTTTTCTTTTTTTCTTTACAAAAAACAAAAGAATTAATTAGTCGTGTAGGAGTCGCATGACGTGCCATGCGGAAATCCAGGGTGGATAGTATGGGTTGGTACAAGTCGCTTGTTTTGTGTACTGGAACGCCGATCAGTCACCTCCCTATCAGGCCGCTAACCTTTTGTTCTTCATCCATTCCATCTAGTGATTTCTATATTGAGAAAACGTTTGTATTGCCACAGGAATAAGTGAGACTATTCTGAATCACCACTGGAACCCGTCTCAGTACCAACCCTCTGCTAAACGTAGGTATTTCTCTACTTGGCGTAACTATATGCAAAAACCCCTTATTGATGCACAGTAGTAACACGTCGCTGCTAGGTCGGCTACCCACTACCAGGACTGGACTGCAGGTCGGCTTTCCTCTGCCAGGTCGGCTTCCCTCTGCCAGGTCGGCTTCTCTCCGCCAAATCGGCTTTCCTCTGCCAGGTCGGCTTTCCTCTGCCAGGTCGGCTTGCCTCTGCTCTCTGCCAGCTGTTACAACCACCCAGCTCGGTTTCGCTGCAATAAGCTCTTCGAGCTCGGTTTTGCTTACATAGGCTACCCCAGCGCAGGTTCACCTAGATTTCGCTCATATAGGCTCTTCCAACACGGTTTTGCTGACATAGGCTGTCCCACCATAGGTTCGCTCATATAGGCTCTTCCAGCACGGTTTCGCTCATATAGGCTCTCACAGCACGGTTTCGCTCATATAGGCTCTTCCAGCACGGTTTCGCTCACAGGCTCTTCCAGCACGGTTTCGCTCATATAGGCTCTCACAGCACGGTTTCGCTCATATAGGCTCTCACAGCACGGTTTCACTCATATAGGCTCCTCCAGCACCGTTTCGCTCACATAGGCTCTCACAACACGGTTTCGCTCATATAGGCTCTCACAGCACGGTTTCGCTCACATAGGCTCCTCCAGCACGGTTTCGCTCTCCCAGCACGGTTTCGCTCATATAGGCTCCTCCAGCACGGTTTCGCTCATACGGGCTCTTCCAGCACAGGTTCGCTCACATAAACTCTCCCAGCACGGTTTCGCTCATATAGGCTCTTCCAGCAAGGTTTCGCTCATATAATATAGGCTCTTCCAACACGATTTCGCTCTCCCAGCACGGTTTCGCTCATAGGCTCTCACAGCACGGTTTCGCTCACATAGGCTCCTCCGGCACGGTTTCGCTCATACGGGCTCTTCCAGCACACATAGGCTCTCCCCGCACGGGTTCACCTACATACACTTTCACAGTACGAGTTCATGCAACCAGACTATTCTATTTCTATGTCTTCTAGTAATTCAGCTACTTATGTATATAATTAGATACAGTTATACTATAATTCACTACACTTCCTTCGATTATGTCCATACTCACCACAGTAGCTACATGACTGACTTCCAGGTCCACGTACTGGTGCTATCTCAGAATTATTGAGTACAGCTTGTGCTTTTGCAATATGCCTTCTAGACTCTCCAGCAACCATGCGCTTAACTTTAGGGTGACCCATTGCCTTGCGCTCCTTGTTAGGCCCCACAATTGATCCAAAATCTTCTCTATCTTCGGAAGGTGTTGCAAGCTGATCAAGAGAAACCGGTTTCAGGTTGTAACAATAGGTCCGTTGCCAGGCAAGTGTAGTGAAGTAGTATGGCACATAATCGCGAGGTTGAGGATGAGATTGAGAATGAGCTTGTAGCGAATATATGAATGTGAAGGCATGACCACAAGGGATTCCGTTTTTCTGAAAATGGCCGCACTCACAAGTACGAAGCCATAAATCAACACTGAATGTTCGGTGGTTGGTTTGTGTTACAATCCCAGAAGTTGTAGTTGAAGCCTGGATTGTATTTCCCTTTGCCCACCGCTGGTTTTGAGCAAGTGCTTGATATCCATCGGAGTATGAATTTGAGGGTATAGAGCACAGGCTTGTGTATACCGTTCAAATCTTTGCTGCATGACATAATGCCATATAGTATTCAAAAGATCTAATACTGGTAACTCACGCTGCTCTTTAAACACCTTATTTGTAGCTTCAACTACATTAGATGTTTTATGTCCATAATATGGGCCTTCATAAAATGCTATAACCCATAGTTTTGGATCAATTGCTTCAAGATATAATGCTGCATTAGGATTAAATTGTGCTAATTTATCCATTTCAACCTTATATGCTGCTCGAGTTTTTGCATTGGCAATTGCCCAAAAATATAGTGAAACTGTATTTGAATACCGCTTGCAGAGGTTGCCTAATCCAGTATAATTAGTCTCTGAAACATGTAGTCTGGTTGGCACAATCCCCTCCTCGGAGGGAAACATGTTTTAAATTATTCACCGAATAGGGTTAGTTTACCTTTAAAGTATAAATAGTATCACCATATACAGCTTCTTCTGCAGCCAAGAGCCCCTTATCCCGATCACTAATCAAAGTCATACCAACTGATTCTGGAATTACCGATTTCAGATGCGTTAAAAACCATGTCCATGAATCAGTGTTTTCACTTTCCACAATTGCCCATGCAAGTGGTAAGTTCTGTCCATTTCCATCAATTCCAACAGCAAACAATAATGTTTGTATAAACCGAGCTTTGAGAAAGGTACCATCTATGGCCATAAACTTGCGCATATGACCAAAAGAATACTTTGACTCAATAGGACAAATAAATATGCGGCGAAACATATTTGTGGAGGAGGTAGAGTAGGAACTATCAAAGTCTAGCTTGATATAAATATCTGGATGTGCCAGTTGGAGGGATTTCACATATGCAGGAAGGTGTTGAAATTGCTGTAGTTGATGTTCACGCCAGTCTTCAATCAAAAATGATTTAACTTTGCTGGCAGCTTGATATGAGGTGGTTTGGGAATAGTGCATGCGAATACAGTCGATAATTGCTTGCACTTTCGTAGCTTTAGTAATGAACAAATGTGTAGGAACAATGCGGCGTAGCCAGGACTGCTGATTTGCAAGGACCGAAATGTATGCTTGATCACTAACTAACCCCATGCCAGCGCAAGTATGTTGTGTGGATATAGATTTGACTTCAATCTCGTTGTCTTTATTGTATGCTGCATGTAGTCGCCGTTCACATCCATTTCCTCTATGCTGACACACATAATATGCTCGCTTTGTATCTTTCTTCCACTTTTGAAATTCAAATTGTGCATCTACTGCCCAATCCTCCAATGCAGATTGTAGTTCACTCCAAGCTAAAAACCGTTGACCAGTAGTAATAGGCATGATGTGTATATAAGAGGGAAATTAGGTATATTATGAATAGAGAGGCACGGAATTGCAGGATAGCTAGATTGCAAGTTTATCGTAGGAAAGGTAGAGTTAATTTGCGTACTATGGTGGCAATGTGGGAAGAAATACAAGTAGTATCGCAAGATACAGGAGGATATAAATAAGAAATCAAGTATATCGCATATATCATACAAACTTATAAAACAGTATAAAATTAAGAGAAAATCATAGGTCAAAGAGCAAACCGAAGTTGGACAGTATTTCCGTAAAACAATAGAAATGAACCAAAGTGCAAAGGGTCAATGCAAGCAGGCTTGAGTGTGGAAAGCCCATGTGAGGAGAGTTTAGGTATGTGAACCCGAGCTGGAAGAGCCTATGTGAGCGAAACCGTGCTGGGAGAGTCTATGTGAGCGAACCTGTGCTGGAAGAGCCCGTATGAGCGAAACCGTGCTGGAGGAGCCTATATGAGCGAAACCGTGCTGGGAGAGCGAAACCGTGCTGGAGGAGCCTATGTGAGCGAAACCGTGCTGTGAGAGCCTATATGAGCGAAACCGTGTTGTAAGAGCCTATGTGAGCGAAACGGTGCTGGAGGAGCCTATTTGAGCGAAACCGTGCTGTGAGAGCCTATATGAGCGAAACCGTGCTGTGAGAGCCTATATGAGCGAAACCGTGCTGGAAGAGCCTATATGAGCGAACCTATGGTGGGACAGCCTATGTCAGCAAAACCGTGTTGGAAGAGCCTATATGAGCGAAATCTAGGTGAACCTGCGCTGGGGTAGCCTATGTAAGCAAAACCGAGCTCGAAGAGCTTATTGCAGCGAAACCGAGCTGGGTGGTTGTAACAGCTGGCAGAGAGCAGAGGCAAGCCGACCTGGCAGAGGAAAGCCGACCTGGCAGAGGAAAGCCGATTTGGCGGAGAGAAGCCGACCTGGCAGAGGGAAGCCGACCTGGCAGAGGAAAGCCGACCTGCAGTCTAGTCCTGGTAGTGGGTAGCCGACCTAGCAGTGACGTGTTACTACTGTGCATCAATAAGGGGTTTTTGCATATAGTTACGCCAAGTAGAGAAATACCTACGTTTAGCAGAGGGTGTGGTACTGAGACGGGTTCCAGTGGTGATTCAGAATAGTCTCACTTATTCCTGTGGCAATACAAACGTTTTCTCTTTCTATATTAGCTCCTGCACCTGGCTGACTGGAAGTGCAATCAGTTCCTAAAGCACCTGCCAATCTTCAAAATTTTTCAGGGGTCTCTTCTGCAAATTATCTGATATGCATGGGACTGTACACTACTTTTGTTCAAGTAGAGTTCCACTTTACAATTTTTGGGAGAATGGTTTAGGGGTATAACATCTCATTTGCAATTCCAATTGGAAATCTTGAGAAGGTCCGGGGTTCGATTCCCCGTTCTTCCATCCTTTTTGCGGAACGTCGATGTTATTTTTCTTTTCTTTTTTTTCTTTGTTACTGGGTTTGGTTTTGGTTTTTGTCACGCAGAAAAGCCTGCCCGACCCCTGAATCCACTAGTTTACACCCTCCGTAGTGAATCCACCCGGGCTTCCGAGTGGCTCGTCATACTTGCGCACACGTGTAATCACTTTCAAGAAAAAGAAAAAATATATGTGCGCATGTACTGTACATATGCGAGGTAGTCTGGTTGGCATAAGACATGCGGGGGCAGTGCAACCAGACTACCGGCTAGCAGGACTACCAGACTACGGCTAGCATGGGTCAGGATGTGGTGGGGCTACTTGTTAGACCCGCATATGCACGTGTCCCGCTGTTCCACGTGCATGCATGGGAATCTAAGACCCGCATTTGACTAGGGAGGGGGACCCGACGGACAGGTCATGCAACCACACCAAGGGGAACCCTGGTACGTGACAGGGTATTATTACTCCGAGTTGGCACAACACGCTCATTCTGGGTACCCATGGAGGTGTGGGGCTGCACCAGGGGTCCCTGTCAACCCCGTTGCAAGGGTCCCGGCAGGTGGTGCACACCCACTTGAAAAATTCGACCTGCAACTAACTCATCCCTGCTCTTGTTTGCAGGCCACCTTTGTGAATCGTTTTGAATCCGTTCCCATGGTCGAGTTGCCGTCTGTCATGCGCTCCGCAACATGTAGCGGCCCGTGGAAGGCGTGTGCTTGGCATCTAGATGCTTTGTGCAACCAGACTACATCGCCCACATGAGACTAGGAAAAATAAAAAAAGGTTCGGTAATGGATTTCCTGACTAAGCAAGCAGCAATCATTACAAGGCGACAGCACATGACAACAATTTTTCTCTTTTTTTTTTCGAACTCATTACTCGCCACACCAGAAGTCAAGGGTCGGCCAAGTTAATCTGGCCGCTATGTACATATAAAATAGAATAAAAAAAAAGTCAGCAAAAATCAGCCCGCGCGACGGCGGGCGGTCGGGATGGCCCTTCCTGAAAAAAAAAAGAAAAGAAAAAAAAAAAAAAAAAATGGCCCTTCCTGAGGAGCTGCTGGGAGAGCATGGCCCTTCCTAAGAAGCCGCCGTGACCTCTCCGTGTCCCTCACCGTCCGTAATAACAAAACCAACCAACGATGTGCAAAATACAAATATGCTCGACTGCGAATGGCCCTTCCTGAGAGGTGCCTGGTGAGCGAGTCCTCCGCATCTCTTAACGCCCAGGCGGTAGAGTACGCCTCCACCGTCAGATGACAACAAGGCTAGCGCTGGATATCTTCCAGAGTCTGAGTAAGCACTTCAATCGTTTCACACGAGCTGTACGTCGCGTTTAACCCCTATTCAGATTTCACCTGTCTTAGGTCTTTCCAGAATCACATTCTAAGCACCAATAACAGCCCCCTTCTCCGCCCTTCCCTAACCGCCATGGGCAAATCTACAACCAACCGCGGCGGCCGTGTCTCTGGCGTTTACCTTCCCTCTCGTCATCAACGCCGAATACAACCTCGACAGTCCATCATCTGCTCTCAGGTAGCGGACAACATGGCAGCTGTTCCCAAGGTTATCTCCAGTCCATTTTCATATCCGCATGATACACCCACATGCGGGCTCGCCAGCCCCGCCACCTCCGGGGGCGGTGAAGGAGTAGAACTCCCGCTATGTCCAGGCTGCGAGGGGCAGGAGGTTAGAATGAAAGGACAGCCTCCTTATAGTATTTGTTTACTGTGTCATTGGAGGGCTGTGATTATGGCGAAGCGAGAGACGCTAAAAATCCGCTTGGAGGGTTTGGGTGATAGAGTGAGGAGGAAGATGGACAGGTTGCAAGCAATTGCCGGCGAAAAGGAGCCTGCAGTTGTTGATCTGGGTCGGGGGGATAATCTAGGACCTGCTTCGATGCATACACGGTTGTCTGTGGACGCGAGTGATCATGAGCTCCCATACTCCAGTGATCCTTGACGAGGCGGCATTCGAATCTCCGCGAAGCTCCCCTGCCGCCTCAGTTATCGTCGACACGAGTAGCCTTCAACATGAACTTATGATTGTTTCCAAGACCAGCCCAAATCAAGTGCTGGTCACGTCTGGAACTCATGGTCATCAGAACCCACTGCGCAATCAGGTCGACCTACCAACCCTGGAAGCAGAGCCCCAGGACACTCTTACCGCGAGTGCTAATGCCAATACCGCCCTTACGATGGCTCTCCCAGCCACGACTGTCACTCCTCAGAACTTTGCGGCGGCATCAGCTACCGTTCTCCCAATCAAAAGCTCGAGCTCAAGCACTAAGAGCGATTCTAACCATATACAGCACGCTGACCTTGAGTGCATTTTAATCCAAGGCAAGCCTAACGACCCGTCGCCTCATTATCGCAACTCCTTTCAATTCCTCTCAGCGACCGAAAGTCCCCAAGTTGCCCCTAAACCAGGTGGAGCTGCTTCCACTCCATTGAACTCCTATAAAATTCACTCAAAAGCATATCTTCACCGGCTTCCGACCCACTACAGTGCCCCTCAAGGAAAGCACGCCCCCAGAGCTGGAGGTTTTACTGGTGGCCGACCCCATTCCAGGGAAGGAGTGGCTTGCAGCGCGATTTAACGAGTTAGATTAACTCTGAAATATCCCACGAGTCGTTTGGATCTCTTTGACGCAGAATCAGATATTTGTAGGCGATTTTTATTTACTCTGCATGAGTACTAGTTGAGAAGCGAAATTAATGTTGTCTACCCACCTACTATTTTCTCATTCTTTTACGTTGAATGCACTTGCATCCATTCTTGTCCATGTATTTTGTGTTGATATGTACTGGTACTGTACCTGTTGCCAACCCTAGGTCAGTATCTAGCCTGCTCGATCCACCACCTGCCGTCCAGAGCTAGGAGCATCATGTTGCATACAGCTTTGGTGCATTTTGAAGCCACCCGGTTAATGGAGCGGGAGAGCCAAAGGACAAAGAGTTTGGTGTATATAGTGACAGAGAGGGGTCAGCCGAAGTCGTGGAGGTATACAATTGGGAGGGCGGAGGGGGCCATTATGCGAGTACAAAGTCAAACAGAAGGCGGCACATCTGCTGGAGTGGAGAGGGGTCAGCCGAAGTCGTGGAGGTATACAATTGGGAGGGCGGAGAGGGCCATTATGCGAGTACAAAGTCAAACAGAAGGCGGCACATCTGCTGGAGTGCCCATAATTTCCAACTGGGGAAGGCAGGACGTAGGAGGACACCTGGAAGGACGCGCACTGGTGTCTGGAGGTCACTGGCAGAAACCTTTTAAAATGAATTAATGTTTCTTAGCAACACATAACCCTGCATCAAGCGTTGTGCCATGGCAGACGCCCCACTCATGCCCATATCCTGTGGTCTGTCACTAGAATCTAAAATTGAAATAAACTGAATAGCTAGTCCTGCGGAGGAGGACTCGGGGGATCTCGTTTGTGTTTAATACTCCAATTTTCGCGTTTACATCGGCCTGGGACTGTCTCCTACGATGAGCTACTATAGTACTTCTACATTGAGTTAAACCCCCCTCTCTCGGATTACATTATACTACTCGAGTCTCAACCTCCGTTCTCAACTCCTCGACGCCCCGAGGCACTCGGAAAAGTCAACTCTCCATCCATTTGTTCTCCAATAAGACCCTGACAACCAGCCAACGGTTGAAGACGCCATGCCACTTTTCGGGGGTAGGAGTTTACAGACAGGGGGGCTGAACGAGGTTTCAGTTCATCCTGCAAAACTTGCGGGATGCGTTTCTAGTCCAATACCATTATGGTTCCCGCAAGTGAAGACTGTAATTCAAACAGGTATCCATGATATTCCCGTCTACCATCCAATTGCGCTGCTAATCTACGCCCCTAGAAAAACCTGCGTTCCCCGAGAACGCAACTCCAAGCTCGCAGAACACCGTTGCCTCTTTTCACCTGCCACCTAGGCTCAAAGAGCTTTGGCTGACACTGATTTTTAACCAATATAACCCTCTCAAAGAGCACATGATGTCGATACTTCCTGGCTTGAAAAAAGAGGGTATCACAATAGTCAACAAAACTCGATGGAAATTATTTAATCGCCTCATGGATCAGGCTGGCCATGAGCTGATTCCACACTATAGCCGGAAATTTCATCCTTCCTGTATCTTTACTATGGAAGCATACTCGGAGTGGGGCAAGCAAATGGAAGAGAAATTCAGAGCCGAGTTCATGGAGATGTGCTTTGAAGAAAAGCTGGGCGAAAATGATGGCCCTACCAGATATCAACTGCGTAGAGAGCTGGAGCCTGAGCCACCGGATATTTTGGTCCACCAACTGCTTATGGATCCTCTCTTGGAGGTCAAGGCGTTTTCCCTGGACCACAGTTTGTTTTGTATGTTATGCCATCCAATATCGTTCTTCTGTGTCACGGCGGTCAGAGCACGACATTGACTATCGTTCGGTTTGAAGCAGGTAATACTGCCTTGCATAATGTGATTGCAGCCTACAACTCTGGACGTCAACTTCTAAATGATGACGACAAATCTAGAGACAATGCCTACAATTCCGCCAACGTGCGTGACCAAGGAGATGTGAAAGTTCTCAATGTTGAGAAAAGTACAGTGTCAAATGGAAAAGGCGAGTCGAAGGAACCGAAGGAGGCGCTGAGAGGAAAAGAGCATTCATCTCCTAGTGAATCGACTCTCGGGGGAGCGTTCAAGCCCATCTGTACCCTCTATAGGGCGATGCCTGGTCGCAGTGTAGGAATAGGTCCTGAGTGGACCATACTAAAGGTTCCCTTTACCAAGGCACTAGATGTAACGGGCAGCAGCGGGGTTGGTAGCCATTACAGCGACGAGACGGCCTCTGAACACGAGGCCAAGACTATCGAATGCGATGACGGATTGCCTTCGAACGAGGTTCCGAAATGGGAAAGATTTTGGCATTCGGTCAACATTGAAGAGCATTTATTCACAGATCCTGTTGAGGTTGTATGGGGTAGGTCAGCTTCAGATGGA